ATAAAGGCATTTCTTTTATTTTACTTAAGATTTCTTTTTTGTTTTGAAAATCAGAAAACAACTTTTCAGAACATTCAAGAAAAATTTCTTTAAAAACTTCACCGTCAGTAAAAGGTTTACTATGCTTAATTAATCCAAGTGATGCAATAAAACTTGCGTATGTTGAATGTATTGAACTCACAAAATTGTGAATAGCCCCTTTCTGTTTATTGAAATTTTGTACACATCTTTGAATGTATTCCAATTTGTCTTCAAGATCCATTTTTGAAAGAGAAGCACTATGTTTGGAGAAGTAATGTCGCTGTACATTGTATGTGCGACCAGTTAAACTGTCACCACAGATTGTACATGAAAGACGTTCGCCAAGTTGAACACATCCATAGTCTTTTTCCCATATAGTTTGAAACAGTCTTGTTTTTTTTGGCTTTTGGCGTACTCATATTAATTATGGGATCAGACTTTTTATTTTCTCAAATTGATACCAAAGTACTTGGTTACCTAAAAAAAGAGAAGATATAATGCAGTTAATTTACATAATCAATACATAATGTATGTTACTGCTATGCATAGTTCATCTCTATGAAATCGGTGTATTAGAAATTTAAGAGACGCATATTTTGGTTTTGGCTACAAAATTTAGAGATATTAAAAATTGTTTACTGGGTCACCAAAACTTTCCCAGTGGGTCACTAGGTGACCCGCGGGTCATAGGTTGCCGACCACTGGGTTAGAGTAACCAAAGAGTTGGCGGTGGGTGGTACTGACCTCTAGTTTATCACTTCATAATTAAAAACAGCTCCAGAACAGATCTGCGCGAAATTCATTATCCATTATCGCCAATTCCCTGCCCCCTCTCCCCCGTGGCACAGCGGAAAGTCTACGGACTTATAACGCTAGAAACCGGTTTTAATACCCGTGGTGGGCATAGCACAGATGCTTCATTGTGTAGCTTTGTGCTTAACTAGAAACAAAACAAAAAGAGCTGTCCCTGTTGTTGGGAAAATTGCTGCAATGAAAAATGTGAAAGCAGTAAAATCAATTGGCAAAAACGTGCCATAAGTTGTCAACAATATTTTATGAAATTGTCTAACGTTTAGACAACAAAACCAGGAATTTTTTTATCATCATTTTCAGTTTGAAGGATTTCGTTTTGCCCCAAATTTTCATAACTTGTCACCATGCATTTTAAGAAATTGTCTACACGTTTAGACAACAAAACCAGGATTTTTTTTATCATCATTTTGTAGTTTGGAGAATTTCTTTTTGTCCCAAACTATCATAACTTGTCACCATGCATTTTATGAAATTTTCTACACGTTTAGAAAAAAAAACAGGAATTTTTTATCATCATTTTGTAGTTTAGAGGATTTCGTTTTGCCCCAGACTATCATAACTTGTCACCAAGCATTTTATGAAATTGTCTACTCGTTTAGACAACAAAACCAGGAATTTTTTTCATCATTTTGTAGTTTGGAGGATTTCGTTTTGCCCCAAACTACATGACATCAAGTAAAAAAGTTTTGCGACGCATCGAAGCATTAGAGATGCTGGTACCATCAGATATTGGTCTGGCTGGCACACTAAATAAGACCTCCATTGATAAATGCGCTTACACTATTGTATGAGGTAATGACATCCCTTGGGAATCCAGTGAAAAGTGGCTTCTGGAAGAATGCAAAGATGAAACTGATCTTAGGGACTGAACAGACTATGGGGAAACACTATAAGTCCTGAGTCTATCCCTAGCTTATTTCAAGGCTAAACTTTCTCAAATACTACAATAGTATTAAGTCTATCTGTAGTTTATTTCATAGCTGACTTTTTCTAACACTACGATAACCCTAAGTCTATCCCTAACTTATTTCAAGGCTAAACTTTCTCTACAACTACGATAATCTTCAGTCTATCCTTAGCTGATATCATGGCTAATTTCTCTAACAGTGCGATAATACTAAGTCTATACCTAGCTGATAACATGGGTAATTTTCTTCTAGAATTAAAATAGTTCTAAATATAGTCTTAATTATATCTGTTTGTTTATTTATTTTTGCAACACACAATTCAATGCAATGTAAACCTTATTTTTTACAATTATTACAGGCAATAATAAATATAAAATATAATTAACCAGAGAGCTCTTAGCTCGTTCCTGTTTATAACATTAATATATTAATACATTTCATTACAACTAATATGTAACTATTTTATTCCGAAACGAAGTTAGAATGTTATTATAATTAACCTCAAATAAGCCTTCTATATTCTCAAAGATAATCAAATTTCCTTCAATAGTATCTTAAGTTCACTTATATTATATTCATTTCTTAACAAAATCGCTATCCCGAATTTATCCTTACTTATTGTTGTAAAACACTATCTTAGTCTTGACGATATCTTTAAGTAATTTCATGCTTTATCTTCATGTAGCACTACCACAACATTGAGTTTATCCTTCGTCTATTTCATTGTTAACACAGCTAAATATCTGATCATACCTAACGTCATTGTTAATACGTTCTCGACTGAGTAATAGCTTTTCCATTCCAACCTAAGTGTCCGTTTATATCTCTGGAAAAAGAAAGAAATTTATGATAAATCTGTGGGCATTCAAAATCACGTTACACTTCACTCAGAAAAGTATAAAATATGGAAAGAAGGCTTTATTTGTATACATGTTAGAAGCTCTGTTTTAAATCCTAACAACATTGGTCCTCTGTTCTGAATAGAGATATTTGTTTCTGCTTTCTGATATAAGAATATATTAGTAATCTGTTTTTATCAGAGACAAAATGCATTTTTTTGTTAGAACTGGGACAATACCCGTCTTTTGTTACGAACAAAGACAGTAGTCAGCTGCTATTCGGAATAGCAATAGTATTCTCCACTGTTTTAAATAGACATAATCTTCGTCCTTTGTTTTGAATAGATATAATATCCTTCCTCTGTTTTAATCAGACATGATACCCTTCCTCTGTTTTAATCAGACATGATATCCTTCCTCTGTTTTAATCAGACATGATACCCTTCCTCTGTTTTAATCAGACATGATATCCTTCCTCTGTTTTAATCAGACATGATACCCTT